AGAACAAATAACAGATGCTAAAACTATTAAGACACCTCCAAGACCAAGTGTAATTTTTGAATCAATCTGAAACAAATCAATGTTTGAAATAACATTGTATTTTATTAAAAATGTTTCAGATTATATATACTAAACATAATGCTTACCAAAAGGCGACTACAAGTTCTGATTTGACCAAGAGAGATTGCAATATATGCAAACATAATAATATAAGAAACAAGAATAGTCAGTATATCTGATTGAGATTCACGATTTAGTTCATCTTCAATCGATCTTTCAGAGGTATATGCTATGTCCATATAAGATGGTATCTTCGCTGATACGTTTTTCATAAGATCGATAAAACTATAGTAAACAATATCAAATATTTAATTATTGCTCATGATTATTTTATAATAAAGTATTTAGTGATATCACCTTTTCTCCCATTCTAAAGCTGGCAGTAATTTTGTTTTGTTATGATAGTTGTTTACAAGAACAGTAAGAATAACAGCTGTAGCTTTTTCGTATGATGCATTATGCAAGTCTTGTCCTGACGAAAGGAAGCCACCTACAGCAATAGCAGGATCAATTGGCCCACCATACGGCGCAAGACAATCAGGATTGTATGCATTTCTGAAAATATATTATCAGAAATTTTAGAGATATTTTTAAAATATTTTCTTTTTAAATATAGTTATTTAAAGAATATATATATATATATATATATATATATATATATATATATATATAACTTACTGTGAACACATCACAAAATGATCTAAGTAATTTACAGTATAATTATCTTCAAGAGTTGATATATCAAACTTTTCTAAATCATTTTGCCAATAACCCCAAACACTTTGAATAGCACATTCTTCTACTGTTGGTTGATCAGTAAAAGCATTTCTTAACGGTGCAAAACATATATCACTTAAAGTATAATTACTAGGAGTCAAAATTTTCTTAATTTTTTCTTGCAGTTCATAAACATATTTGAAAACATTTTTATTAAATATGGGTCCAAATGTTATAGGACCATTAGAAGTATTATGTACGATCTGAAAAATTTAAGATATTAAAATATAGTATTATATTATAAAATATAGTAAAATATAGTATTATATTATAAAATATAGTAAAATATAGTATTATATTAAATATAGTATTATATTAAATTATTTAACAATATTGAGTAGATATATGATATAAATATTGTTCTAATATTGTAATTCTTACTCACATTAGGTAAACCCAAAGTACTTATAATAATTTGTTCAGTTCTATAAAATGGTTCAAAATGTTCATCAAAATATTCTCTCTCAATACGTGAGCGCGAATATGGTGATGCCCATAATTCTACTGGATCTGTAGTAACATTCATATACTTTATTCCATGTCCTAAACCAACAATAAAAAGAAATCCAAGAAAAAGTATTAACCATGGACGTGATGCACAAACTAGAATAAAAAAAAGTATTTGTATTAAAACAAAGGCAATAATCATGTAGTCATAAGTCAAGTTTAAGTCACCACGTTCATTTACCTGTACCCCACCAACAGAAAAATTCTTGTAATAATTTATCAGTGCCTGCACCTAATCTTTCAATAAAAGTAGATTGTGTATCTTCAAAGCCAGTAGGTAATTCATCAGCTGATATAACACCTGTAAAAATGAATGTATGAACTCTAATGATTCCTGATTACATAAATATGTGAGAACAAATTTTGTATGCACATAAAATGACAATTAAACATTAAGCATAAACAAAAGCAATATTATATCATCTCTTTAGTGTTAGCACTTATTTAGCTGCAAAAATAATTTTCATGATAGTATAAGAAACAACAATTTTAGAATATCATAAAAATGATCCAAATATAAATTATTAAATGCATAGAATTATAAAAAAGAGAAATAAATAACGTAGATTTAATTATAGCAAGTAATGTATATATATATATATATATATATATATATATATATATATATATATATATATAATTAGAACAATATTATGATATTTGCATATAATAGTAATAGCACATTTTCTACAATTATAATAATAAATAATAAAAATTATATAAAAGTGATTACTTAAAAAGAAATTTTACTACGTCAATAGAAGAAAAGAAAATTAGAACACTTTAATGTAAATACTTATTTAAACAATATTATTAATGCAGTAAATGTAATAATTAAAATAAACTATCTTTTTGAGCATAACGTTTTTCTTTGTAGTTTTTATAGTTTTTGTAGTTTTTATTTAATCTTATCTGCTTAATAGATATATATTATTTGTATTAGAATTATTTATGATTAATGAAAAAAAACTAATAAAAGAAATCACACACACAAAGCAGAAAGCGTGAAAAACAAAACTAACAAAGCAAAAACGAATAAATACAAAGAAGAAATACAAGAAGCATATTATCCAGAAAGATTTAGAATTGAGAAAACCTACTGGAACGTTTAGATTGTAGTGGACTGTCTTCCTGATCAGCTGCAAGGGCAATACGAGCACCATCTCCTGGGTGGTGTAAACCAGCTGCCAGGCGCCTACCAACCTGTCTTCCTACCTCCTCCCCTCGTGCAACTATATATACGCACACACCATACATACACAACTAATCAGAAAGTATTTTATTCCAAAAGTACTTTCATATATTTTGCATGTAATGTAACAAATATTAGTACATTCATACCTATTATATGAAATATGTTGTTATTTCTATACAGATTCAAAAGATATACTGCATATCATTTCACACTCAATATTATATAAAACAATAAATCTTAATATTACTCAAATTAAGTACACTAAATACTTAACCTTTACACACACACACACGCACGCACGCACGCACGCACACACGCACGCACACACGCACACACGCACACACAGTCATATTACTTCTGAATAATCTTGAAATAAAATATCAGAAACACTGAATATATATTATTTAAAATTTTGTATATATTATGTAAAAAATTGAAAGTAATGATAGATTAAACCACAACCAAAATATAAAGAGTTATGTAGATTATAAAACAACAGTAAACACTCAATAACCAAAAAAAGATAACCAATAGTATTAATTTACAAGTTTTCTTCATGAAAAATAAAAACTTGTTTATTAGAGTCCTATGTGTCAGTAAAATTTAGTAATATTAATGCAAGTTAAATTAAATTAGTCACTATAGAATCAAACAAATGAATGTGTAAATGTATATAAAAAATATAAGCAAAATATATATCATAAAAATATGGCATAAACAAAATAAAAAATGCATAGCATTTTATAATCACACTATGTGTATTAAGATAAAAATTTGCAATGTTCCTTTTAAATATTTGTTTTAATATTAAATTACTATTGCTTCTTACCAATTTTTTGTCGATTGCTGAAACAAACTTCCAATAAAACAAAAATAGCTGATCCACAAATGAATATAATTATCATTGTAACTTCATATCCATCATAACCAAAAAGACTGAATGGCCTTAGAGGTAATGGAACTGGTTGTGGAACTGGACAGCTATCTTCACAATCTACACAACTACATGCTGGAGTATGCTCCTTATAAATAAACAAACAAAATAGAATATTTGGAGATGTTCTAATTAACATACTTAATATAATATATATTTTACAATATACATTAGTATATGTAAAATCATCAAAATGTGACCAATATTTTACTTACATTCAATGATTTGTTACATGGAGTAATTTCTGGATTCATTGGTTTAAATGGGCCAATAGGATTATCTGTATCAATATATGTAATTTGAAAGGGAACGAAACTATTTGTTGAAGCATCACCCATGTAGTGAAACCATTTTGCTGGAGAACATCGGCTTGAGCCCCATTCCCCACACATAATATCCAAAGCAAGTTGACCTGTGCTTGGAACTGATACTTTATTACAAGATTTATAGGTTCCATCTAGATACTTGTTAGATATATATACATCTATTTTGTTTACATATTCAATACCTGGAAATCAATAAAAATAACAGATGTGACACATATAGTTAAATAAGATTGAATTTTTCCCAATTATAAGATATATTACATAATTATATTTCTTTCATTGAATAATAATATAAGCAAACAAGAAATATAATTACCATTATCTTTTAATATTTCTGTAACATTTATAAAACTGCTTTGATGAGGGCTACAAGTAAATTCACAAAAATGTTTGGATAAGTTATCTAAACAACTAGGACAGCGTTTCAAAAAGTTTGCTGCAAGTTTTATATTCTGTTTTAATGTTTGTAATTGTTTTATGTCACAACAAGTATTTGTTTCCTTGTTTATATCAGTTATTAAATGTGGACACTGCTCAGCAAGCAGTTTTTGTCCTTCCTTATCTAACGGTTTAGCAGGACCAGTGTAATGGCAGTTCTTGATATGTGTATAAATATCTTTATAACATTCCCCATACCAGATACAATGATCAGTATCTGCACTGTTTACCTGTTTACAAGTAAAGAGATATCAATAATTGTTAAAATATATTCTTGTTATTACTATATATAACATAATGTTATATTATATATAACATTAGTTCTTATTTCTATAGAAAAATTAACAAAAGACTTTTATGAATAACATTTTTTAATTATGTAATAGTTGGTGGTTTAGATCAAGCCTGTTAAAATGTTCGAAGTGTCACACGAATGCTTTCTATACTTTAATTCTGCTCATGTTTCACATTTGTCAACAGTGCTTGGTGTCAAAGCTTTTAATCAATAATCAATAATCGGATAGAACTTTCGTTACAATGTTATATTCCATATAATTTTATACAAAAATTTTAAAGAACAAATTTTATGTATAGAAAGAAAAAGGTATTAATATTAATTGTATAACTTTTTAAAAATAAATACTCAATAAATCTATAAAAAAACAAATAGAGAATTTCTTACAAAGACATTTGAAATTTGAGCATTTCTTAACTACAAATATGGTTCCGTGAATAAAATACTGAGTCAACTAGATAAGACACATTCCTTAGTTATTAGTACCACTTTTATTGGAATAGCATTTATAATCACATATTATTAAACTCTTAGTCATTAAGGCGATAACATTAAAACGATGTAACTTCGCAGATATTCATATTATATTTTTGTATGAAGGATCGACAATGTATTAAAATAAAACGAAAATATGTATTATAGCCGTTTAGCTTGGAAAACATCACGTCAATAGCTATTCTGGTCAGAAGAAAGTCTGCACATCTCACAAATATTATTTTATTTTATTATTCTGTATGGAAAAAATTATTTTCGCATGAAAGATGCAGTTATGCCTAAATATAAAAAAGATGTATATATAAATAATTACTTCTTTATAAAATTACATGATTACATGTTGTAATAGAGCAATAAGTTAGATTTATCTTATCGTATTTAATAGGCATATTAAGCTTTGACCTCAGCTCAATAGAAGTCTCGACGCCTCGAAACATTGTTCTTTAACGGGTCAAGAAAACATGGCATAATTAAATCGAATAAACCCCTACTAACGATCGAAAGTCATCAATAGGCTTTCTCAAACATCGGGTGAGATGACGTCACGGACAACACATACTATTCAAAAAGAACTGTGATTGGGTGTGGTATATATACATTCGTACGCATACATAAGACGATTGTTATTATATACACAAACATCACAATACTTCGGCCTTAAATGCGACATGAAAATAATATTTCGTTGTACTTACAACGCACGTGAACCAGGACAAGGATATCAGAATAAAAAAAATAGATCCAAGTGTAATCGATGACAAAGGCCTGCCTGTCAAATGATGACCTCGAAGTTTTACATATAAAGTCCGATTCGTCATCATAGCTCTATCAAATTTTGTTATTGACCAAGAGAAAATCTACGCTTCACGTTCGAACGATGTAACGAACGCGGCGTTTTTCACCTTTTTTTATATCGACACTAGAATCTCACGAGTCATGTGCGTTGCGATTAATTTACAACCTATTACAATCTGCACGATGTTTCTCGTCGATGGCAACGATCACTTCTCGAAAATCTCTCGACACTGTTCGATACAATGCTTGTCACACGTCAAGATTAAACTGAAATACGCCATTCGTTGCGTTTCTCTGATGCACGAAGTCTGATTCAGTCGACTTCGGTTATCTTCGGAAAGCTTCGATTGATACTTACCAGCCATTGGTTAATATGTGCATATAAATAAGAGCGCGATTTTTTGTATATTTAAAAATCAAATTACATTCAATCAGATTGAATTATTTGTCTTTAAATTTATACAAATTCTTGATCGAAATAATCATTCGCCTCTTTGGTATTTTCAAAATTTAATATAAAATTTTACATTTTTTATATTTTAAGCATGTATATATAAATTCTTAGTTTGTAAAGGAAGTAAAATTCTATGCTATATTATTGAATCTGATGTACATTTGCTTTATAATTTCTATAATAGGTTAATGATTATTAATTACATGACTATATGTTGTCTAATGTACTGTGGATTACATAACCTAATAACAGATTATTTCCTAAACACAGAAGTTTCCATGTTTCATAAAAAGAAAACAAATACTTTTTTCTACCCAAAAGAAGATGAAATGATCTAAACAATTATTTTTAAATAATTTACTTTTTATAAATCTTATTAAATTTCCAATAGTTCATACAATAACAAATAACTAAATTATCTACGTTTAAAATATAAAGTTCTGTATCCTTTACTTTCAGAATAATCTTTAATTCAAAAGACTATTTACAAGAACCAAAAGAAAAATAGAAGAAAGAAATTTTTTCTTTCTTTTGTTTTTTTATTTCATTTTTATATATATACAAGTCTTTCTTATTTCCATAGTCGGAGACCTGTATTATTTTATCTGCCAACGGGATTGGTGAAAATCGTGTTTACATACGACATAGATTCAGTAGTGCCAACGTCGAAACGCCAAAAATCTTTGGTTTCCCCAGTTATCTATAATACTCTTCACAAAAATATAAAGGTTATTATTCTCAGCAACCTGACAAATAAAGCATATGAACATAAATGTAAGGTAACAATGCATTCGCTGCAATAAGTAAACAACTGAACGATTTTTTGCTGATTTTAAATTGTCATAGTGATGACTTAACAAAATCAATCTCAGGAATAGTTAGTACACAAAGTCTACTAGGCCTAAAGATATATTTTACTGTATAAAGACTTTTCCCGATTGACGTCAATCAGAAAAAGTCTAAAGTATCAAGTGCAAGGACTTCTTACTACTTATTGACAACACAGGCATCACATCATAAACAAAAGAGGGTTATGTTTTTTAATTAACATCGATGTCAACATATCCTTAATACATATGTATAAAATGCTAATTAGATCTACGGAAATGATTAGATCTACAAAGAAAGAATATTATTAAGTTAGATATAAGTTTAAAAAGATAGTAAAGTTAGATATTTTACATCACTGATGTTTGTATTGATGATTTATTATTAATGCATTATTTTATAACTTGAATCTATAGATCGACGATAATATCTTCAAGACATAAAATCTATAAGAAGACAGGAAGACAGTTAACCTCTAGACCTCAATTTCCAAGATGAAATCCGATTCATAATACCACAAATTACTGACAATTCCCAGATTTAATAAAACCATTTTAGCCGTCTGTGTGTAGAGTGGCATGTCATATATCACACATAAATAAAAGGATCCCCAGTAGCATAAGTGTTTCTTCGACTATCACCAAAAAAATTATTTATTAAAAAGGCAAAATTTACATATTTAATAGAAACTGGAAATTCCACATCCGTCAGATAGTCCATGGACTTGTTACACATAGTCCTTAAAAAAATATCAGGAGTTTAGTGCCTTCGGGAAACTATAGAAAATTAAATACTGTAAAGAAACCAAATCACTACTCATTATCACATATCCAAGATTTCGTGAAAATATCTTTTTGTCTATTGATTCGGAAAAAATGCTATGACATTCCGATGACAAGCGACTTAAAATAACCATTATTATTCTGTTTATCCTATTCAAATTTTTGGCAAATGTTATTTAGACTAAAGAACGAATAATAAATTTCTCATGAATTTTATTTTCCAATTCTTCGGTTATTTATATACTATGTACATAATGCTATTTGGATGATGTTTTACGATTAGTAACATCGGGACATAAAAATATGGCCTTTATAATGTCATTTTCGAAAAAGCTTCAGTGCAAACTAGTAAAGTAAAAATAATCAGGAGCTATCAACAACTACTGGTGAACTACGAAATAATCAAATATAATAGAAACTTCATAGAAAGGAGATAACTTATTATAAAGACAGATCATTGACCTTAGTCTTTTACCAGAGGTCGGCAAAGATATTATTAAGACAAATTAAACAGTTAAATTTTATTGGTCAATTCGCCACCGAAATTGTTCGTGTAAGTGGCAAAGAAAATGCGATAGCCGACAACACTATCGTGCATAGCTACTATAGACTTTCCAGTCATTATTAGCACTGAAAAGTTAGCGGAGGAATAACGATAAGACATACTTAATGAAAAAAACTCTCAAATTCAGACTATTCATTTTCACCGACTGAGTGAAATGTTCATTGTAGATATTTTAAATTCGTACGTGCGTTAAAGAAACTATCAAATTTAAAATTCTGAAACTATTACGTGAAAGAATTTTTTATTATATCCATATTAAAGCTAACTTTTTCGTTACTATCGACAAGATATCTGCACTAATACTCATGCAACGCAATGAACGGGATATTTTGCTTCATTATTAATGTTTTTTGGTGATGTAAACGAGATATTTGATATCAATAAATCTGGTATGCGATGCTATGAACAAACATATTTTATGTCTATCCGTCAATATTTACAATATCACTTATTCGACACTTTGAGCGAAACTTTCTACGTCTGATTTGATTTTTAACTAAAGTTATCATACAGAATTCCATGCGTATAGTAATCATGGCTCGACGAGTAAAAAATCGGATCATAAATGATAGTAATAGCAAAGATAGTAATGCTGAATTTGTGTGAGTGATGCTGACATTCCATTGCCAAAGAGACAGAGTAAACTTTTCGATACCAAGGCTATGGATGTATCCGTAGCTACTTATTTTCGATCACTTATTCTAAATTACACAGGCAATCGTAATGGAATGCAAAGAAAATTGGTCAATAGTAGTTCTTATTTTTTTTCTTTGAATCACAAAGTTGTAAATTGTATTGGAAGAACAACGCGTCATTAGATAGGACAAAAATTTGTTTGGTCGGCTAAGAATAAATAAGCAAATACAGCGAAAGAAAAAACTTATTTGTCATGTACAGAATTGCAATTCTTAATAAAAGATTTAACCAAGTATAGTTAGATGAACAAGAGTTTATTATAATGAACAGAAGCAGTACTTTTATTAATAGAAATTATGATAGGCAAACTACGAATTATTATGTCATTTTCCTAACTTTTCCAAAAAACTATTTTAGTAACTAAATTGAAAATTCATCCGTTAGAGATTTTAATAGCCTCAAGGACATAGCCATATATTCAATGTCCAATTGTATGATTAAACATTAAAAATTTACATATCTACTTCAAAGAGATAATCGGATAGAAGTACCTGTTTTTCTAACATACTTATTTTATCTAAAAATCAATTGAAGTGTATCAGACAAATTTTTTGAAAACCAAACCATTAATCAATTGAATTTTCGCATAAGATCTACGTAAATGAATACAAAAAATTCTTATAAATTATAATACATTGTTCATCATTCTAAAAAAAAACTTTGTTTAAAAAGATTTATCATAAGCTATCCACGGTTTTATTAAAGATAATTTAGTTGCAATCCTTGTATAATTCTAGGGGACGTTAACTCATGTCAAAGACTATACAATATTAATAAACGGCAAGTAGTGTTATGTCTCAATTAAAAAGAGATTAAAACTGATATATATGTCAGTCGAAGAAATTAAAAGTGATCCATCAAAGAGTTTAGTAAGACTTTCATTTCCATTACAAATATTTTCAAAACTTAAAGAACTTCAACCAAGTTCGATTAACTTTAATCAACAATTAATTTGATCAGCAATGTAATCAACAGCACAACTTTTAACTATGCCATTCTTAATAAGCCATTCAGTAAATATGCCATTCTTAATCTATATCCTTGTGGTATCAATAACCATTAAAAACTTATATACATAATATAAAAACTTATATAAAAACTTATTACATAATATAAAACAGACAAAATATTAATTAAAATAAGTTAAGAGAATAGATATATTCATTTCCATATTATGTATAAAATTTTTTTAATGATTTTTGATATCATGAAAATATATAAGTTAAAAACGAAGTACGATTAAAAGTTCTGCTGTTGGCTAGACTGGTGATCGAGCTAATCGTTGATTGAAGTTAATCGAACTTGATCGAAATGGCCCTTTTAAATCTTACATCGAATAAGTATCAAGATTAGAAGGGAAATATTTTACTTTTCCGGTGTTGGATTTACTAGATTGACAATTGCGCACTTATTTTCCACCAATCCCGTTGTCGAACAAAATAACGCAAACCTTCAATTATGAAAACGAAGAAAAATTGGGTCTTCTCTCTTGTATATACATAAAAGAAAAGAAAAAGAAAAAACAATTTCATTTTCTTTTGTCAATTTCTTTTTCCTTTTTTTGATCATTGTAAATAATATTTTGAATTAAAAATTATTCTGAAAGTAACGGATATAAAACTTAAAATATTTAAATCCTACAATATTTCGGGGAATTTAGTTATCTACTGTCGTACGAATTGTCAAATCGTATCGATTTAGCCGTCATCTAGCAGCTGTTAAAAAAACTTCACAAGTTACAATCAAGTAACAATAATTTTCTAAAAAATAGTTTAATATATTAATACTTTTAACATATAAGAAAAACAATGGAAATGGCTAAGTTACGAATTTTGTCAAGAAATTTACAAATATCAGTTCTAGTAAGTACTTTATTCCTATTCAGAATAATATCTATCACGTGTCGAGATGATGATATTACTTCATTAATGATTCGTACGAGGGCGTTGTGGTCATTTCTTTTCGGAAATATTCGTATATCTTCGTTCGATTACAAGAAACAAAATATGCTCAGCCGATATTATTTTTCTTCATCGACAGTCTCTTTCTAGAAACAAACTTTTATCTTTTTTTTTTTCTTTCTTTTTTTAACAAAGCCAAAATATTCAATAATGCCTAATTCGTTTATTATAAAAATTGAACGAGTAATAGCCATGAATTATTTTATACATATAAACTTATATTTTACTATTATATCATTTTAAAAAATCTCTTCTATTCTTGCTTTTTATGATTAAGTCCGCGAAATTCCAACGGAGTTTTAGTAAGATTGACGCAGTCAAATTAAAACCAGAAGAAGTGCTCTGCGAAAAAAATCGGAAATCTTGCATCAACAAATTCAAACTTTTTAAGACGACGTACAAATACAAAAATAATGTGAATCAAGCGGCAGTACTTATACCAATCTGCATGTATAAAGGCGAAATTGGAATTCTTTACACTTTGAGATCTTCAAAATTGAATTCAAATCGAGGACAAGTCTCTTTCCCAGGTGGAATGTACGATAAAACTGATCGTGACCTAGAAGAAACTGCGTTAAGAGAAACTTGGGAAGAATTAAAAATACCTAGAAAAAAGATTGACATATGGACTTGTGGCAATTTAATCAATGGAAAAAATATAAACATAATGCCGGTATTAGGTTACATAGGTGAAATAGATCCGGAAAAACTAGAAAGGAATCCTGATGAAGTCGAAGAAGCTTTCATTATATATCTAAATGATTTTTGCAATCCATCCTTATGTCGTTTTACACAATTTCGCGATAGCTACACATTGCCTGCTTATCTTGGTGGTAAACATCGTGTTTGGGGTCTTACCGCTGCTATTACTCATATAGCTTTATCTGCTTTGTTACCCGAAGTGTATAAACATAAGCTTGTTCATTTAAAATCTATAGTTTCATCAAAGACGAAAACAAATAAGAATAGTACAATTGTGACCGGTCAAAATAATTGATAATCGATACAAATATTTAGGGTACAATATAATAGCTCTAAAAAATTGTCTTTTTAACAAATGTTATATAGAAATGTAGTATATATATTTATCATTATATATATTTTTCGCATACATATATATATATATATATATATATATTTATATATACATGTTTAAATTATTAAATCATCTGCTCTAATATTTCAATGATTTTCTTTGTAAATAAATTTATTCGAGAAAGTATATATTTTATAAGTATACGCTCTATTATAAATTTTCATTATTTGGCAACTTTTCCATCGATTTCAAAAATGATAGTAACTCGTGTATATGTATTTATTTATGAAATTCGTAACAAATACATTAAAAATATAAATATACATACACACGCGTGTAGTATGGTGAATATATTACAGGTGTGAAAGGAGTTGGTTTCACTCGGTATTTACGTGTGAATGTATATTTAATAGAATAGAAAGAGAAATAGAGATGAATTGAGTGGGGAAAACAGAAAGAGAAAGAGAAAAAGAGAGAGAGAGAGAAAGAGAGAGAGAGAGAGGGATAGAGAGAGAGAGTTAGGAAGAAAAGAAGAGAGGTAAATAATGGTATGGTGAACTCGATGTTCCCTCACGAAAGACAGTCGCAAAATCGCATGCGCGGCAGTTACACATGCATATACTTTAGAATTTAATGGTAAGAGTAAAGTGAGAATTGATATCTACAAAAAAAATAAGAATAAAAAAAGAAAAATAAAACAAAGTTCATAAGAATTCATAAAGGATTGAAATGCCGATGGAATCCTCGATATACTGGAATTCATTCGATTCTCAGAGGACGACTTCAGGTGAAAATTCTAACAATAGCGATCGTCACTACATTGATCCTTGGGATTTGGAAAATTATGTTTATCTTCGACGATATAGTATTAATGTTCCGACATTGCGTTATCAACAGGATCGACGAACTTGTTGTCAATCTGAATATTGGTAAGAGACAAATTTGTAATATAGAATTTATTATAAAATTATAGAATTCAAAATTATTAAAAGTTCCTTTAAATATAAAATGATAATAATGTATTTAAATATAAGAAGAAAGAGAAAGAAATTATCAAATACGAAATAAATTTAATGGTTGTAATTAATATGACAAATAATAAATACTGCGAAAAATGTAAGAAATGAAACTTTGCGATCGTACATTTTTGCACAAAAAGACACCAACATTACGAGCAATAAAAATCTTTATGCGTCGTTGGTAACAGGGTCACAGAAAAGCTACCCATTTTATTCGAATGGAAAACATGATCGGGTATAAATATTTTAAAAAATTACAACATCTAACTTTGTAATAATTCATTTATTAATAATATTATTTGTATAATATTAAATTTGTATAATAATAAATTTATTAATAATAATATTTGTAATAACACATATATTTTCTACGTAGATTTCATTATCTGTTTATCGTAATGAGAACTGAAATAATATAGTTTGTGTCGTGTGAAAATAGGTATAGCCAATCATTAAGAGAACCACAGTATAGTATACCAGCCTTTACGCAAAAATTATACTGTGACTCGTCCTGCAGAAAGGAGAACAATGCCTACTATTATCATCATCCCATCTACGAAGATGAAGTTTCGAATACTGCTTCGTATTCAATTTACTCACCTATTTCTGGTAAATAATTTTTTTTATGATTAATAAAATTTATGTAACAAAATGAAAATTGTAATTATCTTCAAATAATACGTTACAATGAAATTAATAATCAATGCATCCCAAGAATTAGGGAGAAATCCATAAATGACTATGATACATAACTTGCCTGATATAAATGTACCTGTGATGCGCTCATGCGTTTACGTGTGCATGCGTATGTATGTACATTGAGTACCATGAAGTACGTCTTGTATATACACATACATACAATCGAAAGCAACGAATTTCTCTATTTTGTACTTGTAATGGAATTTCTCCTTCTTTAATACCTCTCGGAAGTTATCGTTAAAGTGTTTCTACAATACCTAATCAAGCAAAAGTCTAATCAAGTCGAGCGAAACAAAATGTTTACCAATACAAATAATACACTATAATATTCTTTAATTTTTAATAAGCACTTGTTTTACATCTATACTTTTCTTTCGCGCGCGATCACTTTTCTTTCTCATGCAATTTAACTTTAAGTTATATTAAGAATCGTAATATCGATCTATTGAGATAGATAAGATTCGATCTTTTTATATTTTTTAGCCTTACCATCTTGTGAAATGATGAAAAATTATTCGATATCGGACTATGATTATAGATCCTTATACGCAAATTCACAAATACGTAAAGATACAGATCATAGATACGCAAGAAATTATTCTCATCGGAATATATCCAACGATAATGTACGATATTTTGGTATGATTTACAATTATAATTTATAAAGTTTTCTTCTTATAAATTTATTTATTACAAATTATTATTATATGATTAACCTGTCACAGATAAATTGCAATATAACGTGGAAGAATATTATATGAGTATAAGAATGGCTCCAGTAGAAGAGAAGCATATGACGGATGTGATAGCACCATTAAATCTTGATTTGAATACATATGGACATCTTAAAATCGATTACACAGACAGTTGGAATTCTTTAAAAAGAAAAATTAGCAAATGAGTAGATTTTAATTAATATTTTACGCATTCAATATTTGACAGTTTACGTGTATTTAAAATTATATATGTATGTTTTTTTTTTAATATATCCACATAATTTTTAAATGTTCCATCTAAATGTGCTTTCTTTTTCTATAAAATTTATATATGTGATTACTTAACATGAGAAATGCAATGTATTATGTTAATTGATTTATAAACATTAAGAATTGTAAACAAAATAATTATAAAGAAAATAATATTTTTAATAATATTTTAAATAATATTCATAAAGAAAATCAATATATATACAAATGTGAATATTATATATCAATTATCGCCTCTTTATCTTCATAATAAAGTTTTTTCTTTCTTTTAGTAATTGTCGACGTATCTTCGTCTATATCATCTTCATTCTCCATATCAGTAGCAATAACTTTCGGCATTTTCGATACATTTAATCCAGACCACCTTAAAGTAAAGTTTAATTTAAATTTTAATATTAAGTTTCATCATTTGATATGTTAGAATATATAACAAATTTATTGCCTGAAAAATGGTTTTTTTTTTGTATTTTTAGTTTTAACATTTGCTGATAGTTGGTTTGACATGTTATCGATCGCTGGATGCTTTGCTTTTTTTCTTTGATTCTGCGTATTAGACGTTTTATAACAAAATCAACATATTAGAAAGTATATAAACTAAAAAGTATGTAAAAATGTATATACATTTTATTGTATTTTTATATATTTAGTGCACACTTATTTAAGTCAAATACCTGTTGTTTCGATTCCAATAATGTTTTATATTTTTGTAATTCTTCTATAAACTGCTTTTCGAGTTTAAAAATTTCTTCTTTGTGTCTTTCTTCTTGTAATGCTAATTCAGCTTTCAATACTTCGAGCTCATCCTGTAATCTACAAACTGTATACTTTTCTTTACTAATTCTATATAATATATTACTAATATATTACGAGAGATAATAAAATATTTTTATGATGAATATATATATATATATATATATATATATATGAGAAATAATATATAAGAATATATTATTTCTATATAAAAGAAAAACAAATAAAAGTGATACTTTGCTCATCTTCGATATTACGATCGATGTAAACGAGTCGAAGATGATTGCATTCCTGTCGGGATTCAAGCAAAGCTGTTTTCAATTCTTCCTTCTCTTTTCGTATTTCTTCTATAGATTTTTTACGTTGTTCTTCCAAAGATGAAAATGTCTTTGTTATTTTCTTTATTTCTTCTTCCATTTTGGAAGATTTAGCTTTTTCATATTGTAACAGCTCATCCTGAATATTACAGAATGTTTTTAACGCTAAGTATACCTGCACAATAACAATAATTTAATAATTTACTTATACTCGAAATACTATAAAAAGTCAATACAATAATCATTTATGTAACTTACGTTTTTTAGATGCGTAAAATTATCGAGTAATGCCTGTAAATCCGGACGTAAAGTTATTCGACTCATAGCCATATTAGTAAAGATTCAAGTTTCGAATTGGCGCGATTGTCATATAGTTAGAGATTAAGACGCCATCTTGAAAGAAATAGTAGTAATAAATACAAAAAAGGAGCGGGTACTTGAAGATTAAGTGTTTGTTGTTTTTTTCGATAAATTAAAATACTATTTAAAATAATCTTTGATATTAATGTTTTTAATAAAATATTTGTGGTTTGCAATTTTCAAATGATTTCTTTAAAAACTATATCTGAACAAGCATATGTGTAGATACATGTATATACATACATTGACAAAAAGAACAATCGATATTCATTTGTATCCTTATCGATTTGTCATACTTTATACGATTGTAAAATAAAATCTAAGATTATAAATTAAATTATGGACTTTAGGCGACGCGCCAGAAAAGAGGTTGATGAAACAATTTTTGAAGAAATATGTGACGTTATATTTGATTTAATACCTCAAGGTATTTATGATTTTTGATAAATTAAAAACACATCAATAATTAACCTAAAAATAATTATATATGTTACTATAGCACCATCATTGAAACAATTTTTTTTAAACTGGAGTGCACTTAATCATAAAGAAAGGACACGATTGGATATTAAAAGTCGATTATGGTGTTGTCCGAAAAGACGGCAACTTTATAAATCGTTACGCGAAGCTATGATCCGTTGGGAAAATATACAGGACACTGAAGGTTATTATTTGTTTAATTATTAACCTGTGACAATCGTATACGTTAAAGAAACGTTAATGAAAAAAAAGATCTTTTCTATAATATCGATAAATTGTATGAAATAGGCGCTCCAGGATGCGAACCTAGTATGATCCCATCGCGCTATTCTCAACTTGAAGAAGAACTCGGAAATCTCGTTTGTAATTTGGAAATATTTTTTTTTAAAAAATATGAAAACTTATATGACCGAGTTGGTGAACAAATTAACAGTCCTCTGAATTTTAAGAGAGATAGGTTGTTGCTATTATCAAGTTGTAAAGATTATTGTCGCTTCATTGGCAATCCGAAGACTAGATCTCTACGTTCTGTACATAGCTGGGCTTGTTTCGTCGATAGTAAAAGCTCTGAAGAAGAGTTAAATGGTTACTTGACAAATTGATTCAGCAATAATCCTTGTTAATGACATATTTTTGTTCCATCATTCTCTCCTTTCCTTTTTGTTGTTTTTTTTCCCCTTAAAAATAAACGATCCCTTGCATCGAACGAACTCTCTTTTTCGATGAAAAAGAGACGACGTTAATGACATAAAATATTTTATTATATTATTTAGGGTCAAGGTGCACGAACGTACAATTAGATAATATAATTAATCGATTAATCACTAGCGCAAGTCATATAATAGAATCGAAGGAATTGCTGTATAAGATAGTTGCAAATTATACAGAACACTTGATTCGACTAAATTCCTTCGAAACATTCGATCAATAATCAAGTTTTAATTGTTAATTGTTTTTAAAATGATCACTGCCGCTCATTAGGAGATACATACATAGTGCGCGTATACATCATCGCTAAATAACGGCTCAGGAACGAGATTTTCTTTTTTTATTTCTTTTTAATTTGTTGCATCTATGTTTCCTTTTGTTAATTTGTGCCAATCGGCGACACCATCGTGGAACGTAACTATTTATATTCTCACAAAAATCATCATACGTTTAACACAGAACATTCTTTGAAGGAAACTGCGAGTTTCCGAAAGTTCATATCATATTGAAATTGTCAGTTTTGACTTGCTTTCTTTACGTGCACAATTCACAAAAAGAATTGAACAAATTCATTTAATACACCATATTACACCACCTATTGTGTTTGTATATCAGTTTATCGAGATATATCGCATCGATGCATATTACTAGCGAATGCGCTTATTAACCGCAAAATTGAATGCGCTACAACGCGCATCTATCGGGCTTCTTATTTTCGTAATCTTTTCGCTGTGATATATAAGATTATATATTTGTTTTCATTCTAATGATGCGTCGTTATCAAACATATATAATATGCTTGATGTCATTCGAAATGTCCACCAAGAAGAACAACGAAAATACGGGCCATTGTTCTTCCCTGAAGTAGAATTTGCTTTATTAATAATTATACTAAAAATTCACATCTTTACTCTACGCAAAGCTGTGTTTGTGTGTATATGCGTGCGTTTGCTACGCACTCTCACGTAACATTCTATATCGATACTTATTTCTTTAAGTATCGGTCAGATCTTCATTAATGGATGTTACACAATTAATGTATCTAATTACTGTACGTTACCACTTATTGCTTAAAATTTATGCTCAAAAGAAAATCTTTCTACCTTTATATACAAGTACGCACGTATACATGTGTATATATACATAATGTTCGGATCAAGAATATAAAACAATATGTGTGTGTGTGTGTGTGTGTGTATGTATATATATACTTTTTTTACGTGTATTATTCAAATCTAACATATGTGCAACATATAATGAAGGCATTTTACATACGTAGAGTAGCAAGAGTATGAGTGAATATAGAATACATATTTTCTTGTTACTCCGATCACTTTATCGTTATTTTTAAGTGCATAACGTCCATCAATGAAAACCTAATTTAATCTACCTGAATATAGTCGATCATTCGCCCACTTTTTTAACACTAAAAGATTGTTTCCAGATACTCTATCGTTTACCATATCTTTCTTATGGTCATAAATAACTGGTACCGTTTCACGGTAACAAAAAAAAAATTATTTTCTATATAACGTTTTTTAATACATCTTTTTTTTCCACGGAAGACCCGCACATAACAGTTTCTACACCCCGCTGATTAACAGGGACTCAGTTATAATCCACAAGTAGAAGTGTGGTCCCGAAATATTTTTCTTGACCTGTTTTTTTTTGTTTGTGGCATCGTTTCGTGCATCGATCACAATGTTCTCGAGTAAGACTCAAGCTGTATAAGATTCACACGGTGAATACGCCCAAAGTACTTGTGATTTGAGAATGTTTTTCTTTTTTCTTTTTTTGACTATCGAGGTTACGAACTGCCGTCTTTGTGTAACGATACTCCAAATTGTATCGATTTATATGTTAAAATAGAACACCATTGTTGCGTCTTTTACGCAAGGAGAGGGGGGCGAGGAATAATTGCTTTATACCCCACTAAACATACTTTAAAACGATAAAACGATACGATTTATAGTAAAAAAGTGTCGCAATATCGCTTCTTTAATATGCGATATCTACCATACGTAATAAAACTTTGTTCTTTTTTTTCCTTTTTTCTTTCTTTTTTTTCTTTTTTTTTCTTTTTTTTTCTATTTTTTTTTCTTTTTTTTTTTTTTTTTTTTTTTTTCTTTTTTATAATGTCATCACATAAGAGGCGCTCCGACACTCGATAAAGAAAGTGTTGCATTTTCAAAGCACAAATGTTTTGTCTTTTAACGAAGTTACAAACCCCTGTCTGTTCGAGCACGCAATTTATAGGCTAACTGTAGACAGGAGCATCAGAGTATCAGGACTTGAAACGCGTCGATAAAACTTTTTCCAGAGTTTACTACGCGTTTTTCGAATAAGTAAGGAGCTCTGTTATCCTTTCACTTGTATTTACAATTGCAAAGCAAACAACAAATCATACTATTACATATATTCGTTCTAATTGAACATTATCTATTGATATCTACATTATCTATATGATAAAAGAATTGATTTAAAAACTGGACAAAAGCATGACGACACTATCTAATAAGTTCATCGTGAATAAAAGCGACTCGAGAAACTCTTAGATTACCACAGTCACACATCTACATCATCATTTTCAAAATATCTCATACGTCCATACATTTCCACGACGTGTTCGCACGTAAAGGGAACAATCCCACTTTTATATTCGCCTTGAATAATTAATTAATTAACCATAACAAAAATTAAAATCAAATAATATATAAATCGAATTATTTTTTCTCCGTTTTGTCTTTTTTCTTTCTTTCTTTTTTTTTTCTTGAGAAGGAAAAATTTAAGTACACCTTGGCCTGAGATCGAATGACTAGCATTTTCGGTTATTATTTGCGCCACTATTTTGAAGACGTAAACGGTCTTGACGGCGTGGCCGCTTGCCCTTTACACTGAACACTTCCCTCAGTTTGTTACTCCTCTCCAATCGACCTCTTTTCAGTGCTTGAGTAGATCTTTTCTCAAGAACCTATATATGCAATAGAAATCAAAGATTAATACTCTAAAAAAAACAATAACGAATATCTTAACATAACGATTGCGCCCATTTTAGAGCCACTTCCAACAATTAGACGAAAGAGTTTATAAGCAAAGCTATATTAGTTTTTCATAAGTACTAAGTTAAGGTAATAAAGATCTTAGTGGACCAGAAAAAAAGGAAAGATAATAGCCGTTACAATGAACAGTTTGTATCTGATAAACACGACGGATTTTATGATTGACTAAGTCGAAAATTGTTCTTGTTAATATAAACAATCGAAAACGATAATAGTTACCTTTTGAGCGGAACGAAGCTGAATGACTCGGACTTTGTCACTATTGGTCCGGTTATTGGCAGGTCTACCGTCATGGATGGCCGGTCTGGATAATATATCGTCATCCTCACTCCTTCTTAGACTACGTTCTAAGGAAACGGTGGATAAATCTGAGGTACGAGCAGGTGGAGTAATATCCTCTTCGAGGTCTCGTTCCTCTGTAGCGTCTGGCGTAGGCGGTGGAGTATCAGGAGCGACCGGAGACACTGTTGTCGCTCGATAGACAGACATACTTGGGTGCTCGATTAACAAATCCTCGAGTGGTGAGGTTTCTACATTTACGGGTCCTGCCCGTGTAAAACATGCGGGTGGTGTAACATACCACGACTCCTCCAGCGCCGTTGCGCCCTCAACTAAAGGTACTAAAAAATTAAAAGGGGACTCGATTATGATTGATTATGATTATGATTATGATTATTATCTTGTATTTTTACTGTTTATTTTATAAATGTTTTATTTCTTTTTTTATATTTAAATCTGTTAAGTACTTTCCAAATGACCGGATATTATTCATCTCTTCTCGTTATCCCTTATCAATTCTTCGAATAAAAGTCATTCAACCCTATCTACTTTCGAATTGCGATCAATGGACTAATTCATACGCGAGACAGAGTAATCGTAAAGATAAAATACTTTCGTAAGTAATTTTTGTCTGATTCACTTAAACTTCAACCGAAATATTAAATATTTTTCTTTCTTTTTTCGTATATCTACGAAATATAAAAAAAGATTAAAGAAGTTTGATTAAACCTACTAGTGCGGTCGATGAGGATCCAATCGTCGCCCTCGACCTCCACCTGACTGAGTCTAGCTACTACAGGGAAATTCTCCAGACTTTCACTATTGGAAGCATTGCGCGAATTTTGTGTTGTGGAGATATTACCTCCTAGTAAATAGTTTGCCAAGCTACTTAGCATGCTGTCTATTATTTTTCTTCCTTTCCCTTTAATATCTGTAAGAATGAGAGATAAAATTAGGAATGATTTATCATATATCTAATATTATAAATGCTATTAGAATTTATGATAAGAAAATAGTTGTGACAGTGAATATTGACGTTATTTCTTTGTTAGTTAAAACTACAAAAAATCATTAGTAACTAGTATCTTTTGATTTTTTAAGTCGACTTATAATTCTTCGATAAATAGGTCAACTTAGTTTATCGCACGAGTATAAACATGTATTACACAAAATGCGTAATTACTAATACTAAAGAGAAAGGCGAATTGCCATATATACATGTTCATGGTCAAACTATCGTATAATTATTGTGAAGTTACGCCATGTATGAAAAGTGTAATCTTAAAAGAAGGCCGACAGGTACTCCAATAATTAAAAATTCGAAGAATATCTACTTAATTGAATAAATACATACACGTATCAGTTAGTATTTATGTATATAAATTTCGCTAATATCATAGATCATGTATTTATAATAAAAATTGAAAACGCATGCGTTTTTACATTCGATCGACAAAAGACACTTTTTACATTTCATAACGTATTGATACAAGTTAAAACAAGTTGTAGCACGTCGCAAAAGATATATAAGTACTATCCACGTCAGCTTTGCGTTTCGAACTAACACGATCTTTATTTTAGCTCGATAAGAAACGTCGGATCTCTATCGATGATGCAATTTGCGTTCCGCTTTTCACGTCTACCACTAAAGACTAGGTAGGATCGAAAGTTGGTAATAAAACTCAACACACAAACTCATCATTCGTATTCGCTTCGCATCTTTCAATACAATTTATTCGTCGTACGTGAACGAAATAAATTTATACAATTATATTTGATTAATCCATATTATCGGTTTAATATATTCACATATTAATTCTGCCTGTCTTTGTTATATTATTCGAATGAAAAGTTGTATTCTAAAAATTGATATTTATAATTTCATTAAAGAGAGATTTCGTTATATGTACGAAGACAAAAAAGTTAAAATTATGTCATCAAATTGCATCCGCAAATACGAACAGAAAATTCCGTACCTTGGTTATTTTCGATGACCTTCAAAATCATTCACGCCAATGTTTTTTGTTGTCTAGCACAAAACGCTCTCTCATTTCTTTATAGTTTACATCGATAAATAAAGAAACAAATTATTCCGATATGAAATCAAATGAATAAGCGAATAAATAAAAGAAAGTACGTATGTAGCATATTGTTCATTTTATTTGATCAAAGTTCGAAATTTATTTAAAAATTATTTAATTGATTTATTTTATGATTAAAAAAAAGGAAAAAGAAAAGAAAGGCAGAAAAAAGAAGAAAGAAAAAGGCTATACTAAGAGATAGAATATGAAGTGAAAGAACATTTTCGAAAAAGAACAATCGTTCCTGGCTAGCGTTGAAATATCGCTACAAAAATAGAAGCATTAGCTCATGAACTGTTCGCGAATCGACGATATTGCACAATGGATTGTGTGGCGTGTTGGCAAGAATGATTTCAACTTCGTCAGAGAAAAATAAAAATACACAAGAGGGTGTCAACGGCCTGTTCCTTCGTTGTCGCAAAGGAACATGTTTCCCGAGGGTCGTGCTATGCCTTTCACGTATCTACCTTGCCATTGCCCTTGCACTAATGACGATAACGACACTGCGAGCTCCAACGATATAAATATCCAACTAAAACAACGTGACTTAACCGTTATTTCTATTCTGCTTCCACAAATTGTGAAATAACGTTTTTATCTATCATTAGTATTTCAATATTACAACCTATATTATAACCTATTATATTATAATTATTATATATCAATTGAGTACATATCTCTTCAAAGTAACAAGTTAATTTTATTTATCTTATAAATATAAACAGTTTAATATATTTTATGAAATTTCTTATATCTTATCGGACATAGAATTTTTAGTAAAAGTTTATTACTAATTAATAGCGTATCTGTGATATAATGATAAAAGAGTAGTTATAAATAACGGCCGTATAACGCGTTGTTGCAATGATAACTTTGTAATCTAACAAACGATATTTTATATAGGATAGAACAAAAATATATCTTCCATAAAACGCGTGATCATATTTTCTGCAATGCAAATGACATTTTATATTAGTTTACAATTTTCAATTAAAATCTGTTTTATCACCTTACAATAGATTAGACGTAATTAAGATTTCGATTAAGAAACTATTGAGGTTAAAGTCTAACAAGTTTTCTTTGTGATAGATTAATCAGAGAAAATCATTTTTCTAAGGAAAAAAATAAAAAATGAAATTAGAATTATAATGAAATGTATAGATTCACCGTTAAAGGACCTATTGGAAAAACGTATCCCCCACCAATAGCACCCTCTTACCTGTTCTGTACTTGGTTGCTACGCGCTGTAGCCGACGAAATATACGTACAAACAAAGACTGCTTCAAATGATCGTCCCCCTCTCGACACAACGGCAGAGTAGCCCTTCTTAGAACTACTTTCTACCAGTTCTTCTCTAACACTGTTTTATGATAAATAAATTCTATCTTAACAAAAATGGGAAACACCTAACAATCGTAAACAATAAGATACACTTGAAAGATCTTCAACATTTTTCTATATTTACGATAATAATAAAACAATCGATATTTATACACTTCTCTAATTGATTCAATTTCATATTAATTGAGCTTATACAAATGACCTTGAAAAAAGCCGCGTAATTCGGATTTAAACATTGTCGAAACGTTTTTATAGTTACGAGTCTTCTTTCTGATCACAATGACGAACCTCGATATGATCTATACGGATGAATCGTAGTTGAAAATGACCTTGATTTCGAATTTATTCCTTATAAACCTTCGTATAACTTCGAGTAGTTTTCCTCGACGCAATAGAATCTCTTGAAAAGATGTAAAACTATGATACGATGATCCCGGCTCGCTTATGTATATGACGCGTGGATGCATATACGTGTGTTCATATAAATGGTGCACTCATACTCGTTTACAAACGTCTCTCTTTCCTTTCTTCTCTCTTTACTTCGAATGTGCGCGCGCGCGCGTGTTCTCACGTAAGCTCGTAACTTGTAATAGATTGTCGAAAACTTAAATCTTAAGTTTGTTCCCTTCATATATCTCTTGTTTCACACAAATATTTGGATTTTTCTTTATTTGTCTATCCCTCTTTTCAATTTGTCTCTTTCTATTTAACCCCTCCCCTTCTCTTTTTCTTTTTCCTATGTCTAGTAGATATATAGATGATAGACGAATAAGAATGAGTTTTGTTCATCACGTTTGACAGCTCATTTTCTTCCGCAATAATTAACTGAAGTATCGCGTATATATAAGTAAAGATCTTATGTAAGAAAGTGAAGGAGGGGGAGGGGGAGACGGGGAGAGAGGAGAGGGAGAGAGAGAGAGAGAGAGAGAAAAAGAAAGAAAAAGAGAGAGACAGTAAAATATAAGTGACACGTAAAGAAAGTAACACGAAAGAGAAAGAGAAGATGGAAAGAAGAAAACAAAAAACGATAGAGAAGAAAACGGAATCACTCGCCTGAACAATGTTGCGTTTGAGGAGCCGTGGTAGCAACTGCCCGCAGTAACAGTCGTCAGCTGATTTCGACTGGCTGGCTGGATGGCTGGCTGGGTAAGGGAAGCGTTGATTGGTAGAGATCCTGGAAGGGGGGGAAGGACGGTTGACGAGTAGGGCGATAGTAGAAGGAGCGGCATGGCGCGGCCGGTGAGGGAGAATCATTTCAAAGCATAGACAGGAACGTATCACGAGGATGACGATAAGTCATCATCCCAGATGTCAATACTCTTCACTTTTTCACCTTTCCATTTTGATTATTTATTTCTCTTATATATTCTAATGTTCAATACGTACAAAAAACATATAGTATCAATGTCACGCTATTATTTTTACAAAATATATACATATATACGTGCGCTTATTATAATTCTATCGTAAAATTATTAATACCATCAAAAATGACATCGTCGTAGACGATTAGTTCTGATCGATCGCACGCCATCATAAAATTCCATTCATTCATCTATTAGTAGGAATCGGAATCGTGATTGCTTTCATAAATGTTTTGGTTATAAAAGTACTTTTTTATCGAAAAGAAAAAGAAAATATGCGTTGTTCGTTCGTTGTTCTAATCATTAAAGATGAACTTTGTACACGCGTAAGTTGTTACCGTTCGCTCAATTTAGAACGTCAAAAGGTCGTCATAATATCGACAGAAGGCAAGTCCGAGTATCGTAAGAATTATATGATGCCTTTGTCCTCTCTCGTAGGAGCGAAGACATATATCACAAAAATAGAACTTATGTGCAATATTTCTTACGAAAATGATTTCGACTTGGCATCGATATATTTCTTTCTTGGAAAGTTCTATCAATTATAATTCGTATGCGCATTAAGTAGATATTCGAGCTAATGATTTTTTAAAATATGAAAGGGGACTTTAGTCTTTATATCACGGTACTGAGATAACTAAGTAAGTGGGAGAACGCTCAGCTGAGCGAACAGCTGCTGGACGCTTCTTAACGATAGAAACCAATGCAGCTTCCTGAAAAATTATTTATCTTTTCAATTCTTCTTTCATTTTATACAACAAAAATATAACGTCACACGTTATCACGATTACGAGGATCACAGTCGAGAATTATACGATTAGTTATGCTAATTACCAAATAATTAAACATAAACAATCGTTTGATTTGTACTCAGCAGCTTGAGTGGTTAGATGTGACGTATATAATGCCACTGTATGTATACCATCATTCGACAGTGGTTCTCAAAGCTTTAGAAATTTATATTGAGCGAAAATAATAAACGATTTGATAAAGAAGTTAAATGATAATTGTTTCAGTTTTTTTTATATAATTCAATAATCGTCAAATATCACTACGAATGCAAAACCAAAGGATGATATTTCAATCGAATTAGTTCAGTTATGTTTAATAGATAATTTATTTATATTAGTCATATTGAAATATACATATATTAAAAGCCATCTAGAATAATTATAAAAAACGATAAAGCGCGTACAATTTTTACAGAATCGAAAGAATATCTCTGACTAAATAGGAAAGAATGATAGTTTCATGAGACTGCGCTGTTTGTCACGTCGATAGTTATTTCAGAGGGTTTCCGTCACTTCGCCATCAACGAAAAACTTTTGTGTACATTGTAAATACTTCGTCATTAATATTATAATTCTTTTATTCTTTATGTGTAATAATGGGTTTTTAAAGAAATAACTAAGTGTATTAAAATAAAAATGATTGATAAATATATGTACAAATGATTTTTAATCTTATCCTATTGTTCGATTGAAATTGGTAAAGCGTGTAATGTATTTATCGATTTTACTTTGTTAATAGGATTTAGGAAACATACGAAAATCTTTTATGATTTTATGTTTTTAAATTAATATTATTTGTATAAAATTGTATAGTACGAATTAATTAATATAAATTAAAGACATTAATTAACAATTTGTGTTAATACTTTTGCCTTTGTATCTTTTCTAATTTTCTCATGAAGTCATCAACTTTTTCTTTAGCAACTGCATTTTCCCAGTTTCCATTTATCTTAAAACTTGATCCAATTATTACCGCGTCTGAAGACATATAACGATCTATGTTATCAATAGAAACTCCAGATCCAACAAGAACAGGTCCTTTTGCCACTTTTTTAACTTCTGTACATTATTAATTTTATCTTATATGTAAGTAATATATATAATCATATTTTAATTTAAAGTATTGAAACAGTACCATTCAATTCTTGTACATCTGCAGGATCCCCAGTTGCACAACCTGTTAATATAACTCCATCGACTAAAAAGAATTCTGCAGCTTTGACTGTTTCTGATATGTTGATATCTGATGTTATTGCATGTGAACTGCATGGTTGAAAAAATAAAAAACGTAACAACAAAATAATTAAATTATATATAGTTAATTTTTACCTATGTTTCTTTTTGATATCTGCAAAAATAAGAATATTATTTGCGTCAATATATTTCCTATAACGAAGAAGATTTCCTGAACAACCATCCATAAAACCTTCATCAGCAACATGTGAAAAAATGTAACCTTCGCTTCTGATAAAATTAAAATCAGCAGCCTTTGCAACAGCTAATGCTTCTTTATTACAACCTGCTAAAATCTGTATAATCAATAAAAAAATAAAAATTATAATTTATATAAAATTATATACCAGTCTAACTCATACCTGTGTGCCACAAGCTATGCTTTCAGGCATTAATTTCCTTATTTCAATACAAATTCTTGTCATCATGGCTGTAATTTCAGATGATATGTCTTTAGATTTAACATATGGAACATCATGCATGTTTTCTACAATAATACCATCCTAAACATAGTACAATAAAAAAAATAATCACACAAGACAAAAGATTTAACGTTATTATTAACAATTTACCACTTGACAATCTTTATAAATCATTGCTTCCCTCAATGAATTTTTTATTATTTCTTTCATATTTCCATTATATTTAGGAGTACCTATAAAATATATTGAAATTATATTTTTAACATTCCAAGTTCTATTTTTGTACAAAAAATATTAAATAAAAGAAAAAAAGATCTTATACCAGGTAATGCACCAACATGTATCATTCCTATAATGGAACATGATTTTTTTGGAAATAATTCACGAAATCTTAACATATTTCTATCTAGATTTAACTTCTGTGGTTCGAGCACGCAAAATGTTCTGCATAAAGTACGGAACATATAAAAAGTATATTGTATATATAATCAGCGTATACTCTTAGGAGTATATATATATGTTATAACATGTGATCACGGTGCTGCGTAGATACATATATATGTATATTTATATATACCACGAAAGGTACAATATTAATACATTGTTCTTTTCGTCATTTATAGTTTTATAAATTATTTCATAGAAATAAAGTACTATAAGAAAGAGTTATAAAGAGCTTATCATATTAAGTTTTATAACCTCTTTTCAAAGATGACAGCTTTCATATGTTCTTAAAAAAAGTCAAACTTCATATATACATATTGGCTTTTGTCTATTTTATGTATAAATAATTAAAATAAATACTATTATAACAAATGTTACGTTACAACTTATTAAGTATTACAAAACAAGTAAATTATTCATCAAAGAAAAAAGTAATTAAATATACTAGTACAGGTATGTAAATTAACTATTGTTTATGAAACTGGGAATAACATTAAAGCGTTGTAGGATTGCTGTTACTAGGCACTAGTTATACGCTTTTTCATCCAAATAAAAGGAGGTCATTACAATCTAAAATTGCGAGTCTAACTAGATTTGGAAGATCACTTGTAATAGGATTAACAGTATCTTTAGATTATTGGGTAGCTCCATTAATGGGATATACAGAATCTGAAATTCATCAGCGATCAGCACATCGTATTGTACAAGGTTGTTTGCAAAATGGAGGAATATATATAAAACTCGGACAAGGCTTGGCAGCTGTTAATCATATCCTTCCTAAAGAGTATGTTAATTCTTTAGAAATTTTACAGGTATCCATAATATGTAGCAAATTTTATCATTGGTTATTATAACATTTTATTGATAAAAATATTTGCAACCATTTCTTTTATTAAGGATAAATGTTTAACGCGTGATGAAAATGAATTACAAGAAATATTTCTACAAGAATTTGGAAAAAGACCTAAGGAAGTATTTCATAAGATTGATGAGCATCCTATTGCAGCTGCTAGTTTAGCCCAGGTATACAAATAGACAAATAAATCCATTTTTAAATGAATGCTTATATTTACTAATTGAATCTATAACTTAATATGATAAACAAATTTAGGTTTATAAAGCAGAAACTATGGATGGTAAATCTGTAGCTGTTAAAGTACAATATATTGATCTTAAAGATAGATTTTATTCTGACATGAGAACATTAAATTATTTGCTAAAAATCATTACAATTATGCATCCAAAATTTAATTTACACTGGGTAGTGGATGTAAGTAAATATAGTATACACATATTTTTTTCTTTATTCTTTTTACGAATTGTTTTAAAATTGATTTTAGGAGCTTTTTGAAACTTTATCACAAGAATTAGATTTTGAAATAGAAGGAAAAAATTCAGAGAAATGTGCAAAAGATCTAAAACAACATGATTATGTACATATACCTAAAGTTTATTGGGATCTCAGTACAAAGGTTAATAAGTTCACCATAAAAATGAAGAATTAATTAATGTTTTTAAATCCTTATCGTAAATTATCTTACTTTGTAAATATTTTTATTTTAGAGAATCCTTACAACTGAATGGATCGATGGCATTAAGATAAATAATGTCAAAGAATTAAAAAATAAAGGACTAAACATGTATGATATAGACACGAAACTAATTACTTTAATGGCAGAACAAATTTTTCATACAGGATTTGTTCATGGTGATCCTCATCCTGGCAATAGTAATGTTTCTTAGTTTATTATAACTTTTAGATATCAATAGATTTAAAAAAATATAAAATAGATTCTTGTAACAAAATAATGTGTTATCTATAGTTTTTATTAGGAAGGGACAGGACAATAAAGCGCAAATAGTTCTATTAGATCATGGATTATATGAATATTTGCCAGAGAAAACAAGAATTAGCTTATGTAATTTCTGGGAATCTATGATTTTGAAAAATACTCATGCTTTGAATGTATATGGTAAAGAATTGAATGTGGAGGGTATGGAGAATGTTATTAAAATGTTGTAGCCAATCTTTATAAAAGTTCATTGCCTTATAAGTAAATATAGTATATTTCTAGATCCCATTCTTCTAGCTGAAATATTAACTCAAGCACCATATTCATTATCTTCGTTTTTAACAACTGAAAAAGGAAAAAGATTGAAAGAACATATGATTCAACAAGCACAAGAACATTTTGATAGAATTACAGCAACATTAAGAACAATGCCCAAAACTATGATGTTGATTATTAGGTAAATATTGTACATTATTTCGCCAACATGAAAAATCAAGGCACTGATAAAAATAAGTATATACTTTTTTATTTAAGGAATTTAAATACTATACGTGCTATCATACAAGATCATGGAAGTATGGTAGATCGATATAGGATAATGGCACAGATTGCTGTACGTGGAAAATATAAAGTTACAAATCTATCAGTTAGTAAATATATTAAGGGGACAATGTATAAGGCAAAATTTGAAACATATTTATGGTAAGTTCGTTTCTAAAATTGGTAGATATTATTAGTATTATTTAAATTTATTTATAATTTTTTACAGGTTATACAGTTTCGCTCAATGGTTACTTAAAACTTATTTAAATTTTTTGTGGTTAATAGGATACGATACCAAACAAATTGTGGAACTTGTAGCGGCTCAATATTCGCAATAATTTTTTGTTATGTAATTAAATAAAAATTTAATTTTTTATTTACATGTTAAATGTATGTAGGAAGGTACATCATGAAATAACTACAATATATTAATTCTGTAAATATTATTTTATGCCAAAATTATTGTTATGTTGTATATTATGAATTATTCATTTTGATTAAATCATTGAATTAAAAAAAAATTTACAAATAGAAGTTGTATGTTATATCACTTTTATACTGACAACTAGATACTTTGAAAAAATTATATTTAATTTGAGAGTTACATTGTATAATTCAATACCTTAATGAAATTCACTTGTATATGAAATATTAAAAAAACACTATTTTTAATATACTATTTTAATAATTTGTTATACATTTGTATTTATTATTACTAAAAAATAATAATGCACTTTTCCATTCATAATAATTTACGTGGTAAACATAATGGTAGATCAAGTTTAACTAATTATAACAATATCTTTCTTATTTATATTTATAATTTTTATTTTATTACAAATTATAACGACACCTTTTTTCATGATTAATTCGTGATCATAAAGAATATAACAAAATCCTTCCAAATAAATTTATTACCTAGTAAATACATTATTTGAATAAATTATTACCTAGGAAATGACTTCATCAGTAAAATCTGAAAGAAGCTTGACATATTATGCATTACTTATATGATCATTATTGTTTAAAAACAATGGAACAATAATAAATTCTTCATTCTTTTCTGTATTTGTATATATGAAACACTGGTGGCATTCAATCTAATATTATAAATTTTGTGTTAATAAAATAATATAAGAAATTATTAATTGTTTAAGCATTTTTAACAATTGGTACTATATACTATTTTATACTTGAACAATTTGTTCTTTAAAAGATATTGCATTAAAATATTAGTGACATGGATAAGTAATGCGCTAGCTAAACTACATGTTCCAGTAAAAGATGATTTTTTTAATGACCTAATGTGAACTTTGTAGGATGCAATGCACATTACTTATCTGCTGACTTCAACAGGAAAAATAATGTATCAGAATAGAGAAGAAAGTTTTCTAGGTATTACCATGTATGTACATTCAACTTTTAATATGGTAATACAAACTCAAAATAGACAGATATTTTGTTGATGTATGTAATACTTTCAGTTTTGTTTTATGTACTGATGTAATAAATTAAAGAAGTATGATTTTTCGATATAAGCAAGCTGAGATAGATTTTAAAAAAGAATTCATGATATCCATGGAAAAAATGAGAAATTGTTTAGGCAGTTTTTGCTCGAATAGCAGCACGTTTTCCTGTGACAGCCTGGAATATACAATACAATACATTATAGTAAAATATAATATTACAACGTATTTGTTATATTAAATATGCATATAAAAGTTTCTTACTTGAAATCCAGATTTTATACTGGCTACAGAGCACCTAGACCCACAAGTTTCACATTGTAAGAAAAATAGTCGAGTATCTTTTTGAAGAATAGTGTCTGGTGAACGACATGTGTGACAGGTAACATATTCCTTGATATATCTCCTAAGCACATTCTCAATTTGTTTTTGTTGGAAACGTCCTTTAATAATAAGTTGACTGTTTCCATCTACAGAGCCACTTGTACCCAATTCAGCCAATAAGAAATCAAGTAAATGTTTTGGTTGTCTATGTAATGTTTTACATATCTATAAAGAAATTTTGTAAACATATCAAAAAATGTCTTTGTTAAAATATTACACAATATTACATTTATAACAAGATATTACCTCTGTAAAATTAGCAAAAGATGTTTTCTTTGTACCTATACGTACAACCTGTGGAGGACGCATAACAAATTTCTGCTTCTTACCAGCAACCATATCAGGATTCTTTTCTCGCATGATGTTGAATACTCTTACAAGTAATTCATCATACGTATAATCTCTATCTGATCCTACCCACAAACTTGTTTCCTCCACTAAAGAATAAATATATTTCTTAGAAATAGATTTCGAAGAGAAAACATATTTGAAATGATAGAATTTATAAAACTAAATATTTTTACTATATTACATGAATCTGATATATAAAGAATCCCTCTTTTCCTTACCATACTCTGCACTTCGCTCAGATTCAGTGCAGCATGTTAACAAATAATAAATAAGATAAACCAACTGAAACATAAACAGATAAATCTATATTATATTATATTTACCATTTTCTTTGTCTTCGATTTCTTTACGCTCTTCTTCTGCCACTAATTCGTCTAGATCCTTCTTCTTCTTCTTCTTCTTTTTTGTTTTTGAAAAATCCATATCTAAATCTAAATTATCATCTACAGCAGTTTCTTCCACTGGTGGCTCCATAACATCCTTTAAACATATACATTTATGAAATATTATTATAATTAACTACATTTTTTTTAAGATACAAAATACATTATGATGTACAAATGAGATTAACATCATTATTTTTAATGATATTTACTTCTTTTTTTGCATCTGGTAAAGCAGCATCTAAGTCATTTAAATTAAATGCCTTTTTCTTTTTTTTCTTTTTTTTTCCAAAATTTTCCAGATCCAAAGTTTCATCATCCTCAGCCATAAGAGGTTCTGGTTCTTGATTTTCCTTATCACCTGTCATTTCATTAGCATCACCAGTGCTACCTGCTTCATTGAATTCACCATCAATGTCAAATACACCCCTCTTTTTCTTTTTCTTTTTCTTTAAGCTGGGGTCAAAAATCTATAAAGATATACAATTATTAAAATCATATCTCTTGGGTTATTTTATTCAATTGTTTTTGTAATTACAGAATAAATATAGCACAATATTTTAATTTTATGGAATTGAAGAAAGTTGATTGTATTTTATAAAATTAGTGTAATATTGAACTAACATCTGGACATCATAATTAGATTGATTAAATACTTTATTACAAGCAAACTTTTTATGTAAATCGATAGTCCAAAAATAAACAGTGATTTTAATGAGAGCATTTATCTAGAAGTAATGTGAATTCTATTTATTATACATTATGAGTATAAGCTCGTGACGAAAATTTTTATGATGGCGAAGTATCCACATGCTTTTGAGGTTGGGTTTCTCTCAATGGGCACGAGTTCTTGCTTTTGAGACACTAATGTTTATAAAATTCTTTTAAATGTCAAAAAGATTACTATATTTTTTTTCATTATATGAAATATTAACGAAAATATATAGGATGTATTAACAGAACCATGATTTTACTCTCTTCATTCATATTAAAATATGTTGCTTCTATATAGTCTTGTAGGACAACATACCGAATCTTCTTCTGTCATTTTGTATGTGAAATTAAACCGTTGAAGATTTTACAGAAATTTCAATATTTTCTAATGACTTTAAATAGCTAATTTTACAAATATCTTCAATCGACACTCATCCATCCAACGTATTCAAGACTTCTTCCAGAGTGTTGCATCAGAAATTCGACTTTTGAACCTGTGGGTGGATTTTTATTACAGCGACATGTTGACCCATATGATGGCGATTCTTATAAAGAGATAACGTTTATTGTTCATAAGTGAGACATGTTTCTAAAACTTTAAATTCTTTTATTTTTTGTGATCTTTCAAAATTAAATGATTAAGTTCCGTAAAAAGCAAAACAATTTTCACCTGAATAATTTTGACAAATTGATAATCTCCCAATTATGACACTCGATAATAATGTATGCCAAGATTAATAACATATTACTGTATTTGAATTTACATAATATAATTTTACGAATTTACTTCATAACCATTCATATAGTATTTATTTATAATTTATTTTGGATATCTAAATTAATATTATAATTTTAGAGGATACTATATACAATTACATTACTCCAATCAACGAGTTGATAACTTTAATTTTCATGAAACGATAGATGTGTGGTTTATTTAGTTACATGAATGTACAACCAAAGTTTTACCCTTCTGTCGTTAAATTATCTGTAAATTGTGCTTACTCTGGCTTGCTCACTCAACGCAACAAATAATGGATGACTTGTGTTGTTATTTGCAAGAAATATGATTGCATGTATGCGAATACAAATCATAAATTATTGATAGAACAAAACTCATTAAGAGAGAAAAAAGTAAAGGATAAAATATTTTGTTATTTAATTTGTAAAAATCACGAAGACGTAATATTGTTTTGGATCTCGAATTGAAGTGACAGTGTGGTACACTTTGTAACACCATAGGTTGTATGTACTGCTTTTATAGGAAAGTGATAAAACTGACAAATGTGTGTTTACATCAAAATAAATATTAAATGATTTTAAGACAATATTGTATATATTTTCTCCACTACAATGAGGGGAGATAATTTGCTTGACATAGAGCTTATGAAATTATGTAAACCAGACAGGAGATGTATTTGATAACTGCCAGTTTTGAGTTCGACACTGTTGCTATTCTAGTGCCTGAATAATACTTAGCCTTGTTTTGTGCCTAATGCACTAATACATTTTTCATCATGGTGCATATACCAAGCACATATACTTACGATTTTTGGGCAAAAACACCAACAGAAGTCGTAGAGTTAACATGTTTGATGCCCAACGGTGTGGTAGTCCCACTTGATACAAATCGTAATGCTACATTGGCTGAAATTAAAGAAGCAAGTATTTTTTTTAATATTCTTAAAATTCTTTCATAGTTATCAAATTGTCTGAGTAGAAATGTTATATAATTATATATATATATATATTTTTTTTTTCCTAACTAAATGCGTGTTCACAAATAATAGAATATGAGTATTATAGGATCTTTGGGACGAGGCAAGCAAGTATCCTCTTCATGGAATATTGAAAGATGCGCAATCATATGTATTTTCATACATCAACTCAAATGCAGAGGCAGAAGAACTACGAGATGAAACAAGACGTCTTTGTGATATAAAACCATTTTGTTCTGTACTAAAAGTTATTGAACGAGAAGGTATAAAAAATGATAGGAATTTAGATGCCCAAATAGGTCATATAATTGGAAAAGGATTACATGAATTTGCTGCCTTAAAAAATTCTGAAGTCAATGACTTCAGATGGAAAATGCGAGTATTGGGTGATGAAGTAGCTGTTGCTAGACAAAAAAAATCATGGGTGGAGAAAGTACAATATCAGTATCCATTAAGGTTAGCTCCAAGTTCTGCGATACCTAAAAATATTGAATGTCGGCTAAAGGATGGAAATCTTGTTCTTGTTACAAAATTCAGGAATACAGAGGTATGTAATATTTATATATTTTTATATTATAAAAATAAGCATTAAGTAGAAAGTTATAAAAATTAACAAGGGTAGTTTTACATATAAAAATACAATTATAAAGCAGAATTGCATATACATTTACAATTTTCCATTCATTGTCACAATATCTTTAGTCTTTTATTTAGATGATTCAGATGAAATATATATAGTTTTGTATTGTTTTCTAATTTTCTTTTTTTCTTCATTTTGCTTCTTTTTTATTATGGAATTGTCACTTAATGAATTTTTTGTATCTTCAGCAAACTGTACAATTTTCTGCGGTTTTTGTACTTCTCCAATTAAATTTAAATCTGTTGTTTCAATATGAGTTGCTTTAAGATCTAGTATTGTATTGTTCTCTATTATTTTGCATTGTACTATGTTCGCGTTTCCTTCCAATTTTGTATCTTCAAATTTGGATGTGCTATCATTGTCATGATCAAGACAATTTTTATCAATATCTGCTTTATATGATTTATTTATTAATAGATCTGATTTATATACGGTATCTATATTACTAGTTGTTTGTAGCATGTTCTTAGACTTAAGGTAATTAATTGGTAATGTATTTTTTAATGTTGTTAATTCTGATGTAACTTTTTCTATATTTTTTATATCACTTTCTAATATTATTTCTTCTTTATCAGGAAAATCTTTATAAATAGTCCTGTGTTGTTCTATTGCTTCAAAAAATAATTTATAATCTGATGAAATTGCATTTTCCAATTCTAACTGACTTTTAATTGCTGATAATTGTGCCTGCAAAGTAATATTACAGTAATTATATAAAAATAGTTTTATATTTAATAAAAGAACTTACTTCCATATACATTGCTTTATATTGCCAGTATTGAAGTTGTTTAGCTATTTTATGTTTTATTTCAGTTTGAAGTAACATATCAACAGAATCACGTTCAATCCTCTGATGTAACTCCTGTATTTCTTTTTTTTTCTCTGCTAGTAATGACTCCAAATAGCTGAAGTAAATATAATTTTGTTTTATACAAACACAGTACTTTATTTTATAAGAAAACAAAAGAATGATTATAAAGAACATGCTTACCTAAAGGAGTTATCAATTGTTTTCGTTTCGGTATTAGTTTGTTGAACTTCTAATAATTTTTTTTCCAAATCTCGAATTCTGTTTTTATATTTATTTATTAATTCATTATCTTCTGAAAATATGTTTACATATTCATCCCATTTTCTTAATATAGATGCTTTCTCTATTTTAAGAGTTTTAACTTCTTCAGCTTTTATATCATATGCTTGTTTTAGTTCATCATATTTCTTTTTTAAAATAGTTACTTTATTTACCGCAAGTTGACGTCGATCCTCAACTTCAGCAAACAAAGAATTACCTATAATAGTATTACAATGTTTATTATCTTCTTTAATATTTCCTTTTATATGTAATAATTAATTTTAAAAATTACCTTTGCACGATTCACTAGCAGGAACAATTTTCAATGTTTCTATCTCTGAACGACAAATAACTAATTCTTCACGAATACTTTCTAATACTTCATTTTTTTCTTTCAAATTATTTTTAGTTACCTATATAAAATAATTATTTAGATTATTTTTATAATATTTGATTTATTTAATCTTAAGTGCATAATTTTTTGAATAAACAGTATACTTCTAAAATTTCTTGAAGTTCAAAAACTTGATTTTTAATATCTTTAATAGTTTCTTCAGCATCCTCTTTTTTTCGTTTTTCATCTTCTAAATTGATTAAAAGTTCTTGGATCTGCTCTTTTAATGGTGTTAACTTTTCTTCAATATCATCGGTTTTATATGAATTATCTTGTGATGTTTTAACTTTGAATTGATGTAATGAATCATATAATTCCTTATTTTCTTTTTCTTTATTTTCTAATATTATTCCTAGGTCACTAAGTTGATTTTCATACGCTTCTTTAGTTTCCCGGTTTCTAGATTAAAAAAAACATAATTACTATAAATATTAAAAAATTTATATATGTTTTATAATTTTATATGTTTATTTACTTTTCTTGAATATCGTGAAGTTTTTTTTCTGCTTTCTCTTTTTCCTTTATTAGCAATTGTTCCAATGATTCATTAACTTCTTGAAGTTCCCTTTGCATAGCTTCATTATGGATAAGTTTTAGATGTAATTCGTGTAATTCTTGACGATAATTTTCATTTTGTAAATGTATTTTACGATAATCTGTACTTCCATCAAAAGTCTCGTTTAAATATTCATCTTTCGAGCCTATAAATGCACTTTCATTACACGAAGACATTGTCTCAGACATTTTGAGGTTATGTTTATGTTTTCTCTATACATTCGGCGGGAATCAATCGAAGAAATTTGAATTCTCATGTACTTGAGATGTACTATATCGGCATAAATTAATGTAATTGTAAAATCAAAGTTTATTCTACAACAAAAAAGAAATAATATATATAATAATATATATTAATATACATATTATAATATATATAGTAATATATATATTAATATATATATATAATGAGATACAACTATTTGTTAATGTATATAAGATAGAATAAAACTGTAAAGGAAATAAATCGTTTATTGTTAATGAACCGAACTATATATATATATACCCTTATTTATATATGGATACATACACATATGCACATATCCACGCTTGTATATATATATATATATATATATATATATATATATATATATATGACTTACACATACACATCCGTTTTATATCAATTATATTATTAATACATTATATTGTGTAAAAATGTAGAATATGATATTTAAATTCATTTTTCAAGAAAAGAAACGTATATTAATAATGACTTATTATTTTTAGACATCTTTTACATTTCAAATCTCGCATTCTACTACACCATATGAGCTATTGGTACTTATTTTAAATAAGAGGGCAAATACGATGATGTTACGAGGTGAACATCCAAATGATTTCATACTTAAAGTATGTGGTCAAGAAGAATATTTGATTGGAGAATATCCTCTTATACAGTTTAATTATATCCAAGATTGTTTAGCAAGAGACATTACACCAACGCTTATTACTCTCAATGTAGATAGTGTATCTTTAGATCAGGATAATGGTCCTGAGAATCCAGATGTAGATGCACTACAGCGCACAAGACCTTCCTTTTCTACGCTTACACTTCGTAAAAAAGGCAAACATGTTTCTGCTTGGAAGATAGATGATCCATTTGTGTTCACTGTAAATGGTATTTCTCGACTCAACTGTGATGCTGCCCATCGGACAGTAGAGGTATACAAGTTTATTTATAAATTGACTTCAGAAATATCCATGAAATTAATTTTAGTTTTACAGTTTTATTGTCAATTCATTATATTGACAGTATTCTTTAAGCTGTCAAATTTGTATACATAGATTGGGTTGCAAGCTGGCCTTTTCCATGGCGGGAAGTCATTGTGTGAGAGTCAGAAAACCAAAGAAACTATAGTAAGCTCGGATGGTAGTTGTGAATGGGAAGAAACTCTTAGATTTGATATAAAAGTTAAGGATATACCTCGAATGGCACGTTTATGTTTTGTCTTGTATGAAATTAGTAAAACTTCAAAAGGCCTAAAGAGTAGAAGACTGGTTAAAGATTCTAAGCAGGAATTCTTTATAAATCCTTTGTGTTGGGCAAACACAACTATATATGACTTTAAGTCTCAATTAAAGACTGGAGCAATGACATTATATACATGGACATATGCAGAGGATATGCAGAATGATGATTTACTTCATCCTTTAGGGACAGTAGTATCAAATCCACATATTGATAGAGCAGCAGCACTTATGCTGACATTTCCTAAGTATGCTTATGCTTTGTTTTTAGGCAGTTTAAACAAACTATTTACAAGATAAATCTTTAATACTCTTTTTTTTTAAATATTTTAAGAGATAGATTAAGTTAATTTTTTTTACAGCTATGGAAAAGATAAATCTGTACTCTATCCTACTCCAGAAAAAATGGTAGAATATGCAAGAAAACTACGTGAATCTGCTAGTGAAAGAATAATGCAAGAAGAACCAAATCAAGACAATGACATTAATAAATTTCAACAATTAGAACAATTAAGATCTTTAGCAGATAGAGATCCACTCCATGAACTTCATGAACAGGAGAAGAAAACTATGTGGGCATTGAGGCATCATTGTCTTCATGAAATTCCAACAGTTTTGGCCAAACTATTGCAATGTGTAGAATGGAATGATCACAAGTAACACTACACAAATTTTATATATTTTAGTGATGGAAGATTAAATTCAATCTGATTGTTGTTCTTTTTTTTCAGAGAAGTAGCTGAAGCTACAGCATTAGTACAACAATGGCCAACATTGCCAGTAGAAAAAGCATTAGAATTATTAGATTATGCCTATGCTGATCAAAATGTTAGAAGTTTTGCTGTACGTTGTCTTTTAGATGTTAGTGATGAGGATTTGAGTTTGTATCTTTTACAATTGGCTCAAGCATTGAAACATGAAAATTATTTATCATGTGATTTAACTGAATTTCTATTAGGACGTGCTCTTAATAACCAGAGGATAGGACATTATTTGTTTTGGCATCTTCGGTGTGTGATATTCTATTGTTGCATGTATACTGAATACCTACGCGTATACTGAAATATTTGGTATTGTTAAAGAGAAATCAGTCTAAAACTAATCGATCATTTTGTATTTCAGGTCAGAAATGCAAGTTGGTTCTGTTTCTGTTCGTTTTGGTCTTATACTTGAAGCTTATTGTAGAGGTAGTCAACAACATATGCGAGCACTTTTTAAACAAATGGAGTGCTTGGATAAGTTAAGATGTGCTTCAGAACAAGTTAAGCAGAAAAAAGATCGTAAAGCAGCACTTCAAACCTTCCAAGATTTTATTCAAGAACCGCATTGTCAAGAAGCATTATCTAATGTTCTTAATCCATTAGATCCAAGCTTTAGGTGGAAACATCTAAAGTAAGCTTTGTAAAAGCAAATATTTTATTAAGCTTATTATAATATCTTTCGTACGTTCTTAGTTTCACGTATTACATTAAATGTATTCCTATTTGTTTCACATTTGTGTTCTATTTGTAGAGTTGAAAAGTGTAGGGTTATGGATAGTAAAATGCGACCATTGTGGCTTGTCTTTGAAAATGCGGATCCATTTGGTGAAGATATCTATTTAATACTTAAACATGGAGATGATTTGAGACAAGATATGCTTACACTTCAGATGTTAAGGATCATGGACAAGTTGTGGAAAAGAGAAGGTTTGGATTTACGTATGAATCCATACGGTTGTATATCTACAGAGAATAGAGTTGGAATGATTGAAGTAGTTTTAAATGCTGAGACCATTGCAAATATACAAAAAGAGAAAGGCACGTTTTCTGCAACCGCTGCTTTTAGGTACATACGATTGCAGATATCGGTCTATGATGTATTTATTTTTGCATACTATTATTTTTTTAATGGATTTTTTTTAGGAGAGGTTCATTATTAGCTTGGTTGAAAGATCATAATCATACAGAAGTAGCTTTAAATAAAGCCATTGAAGAATTTACGTTAAGCTGTGCTGGGTATTGTGTCGCAACATATGTTCTTGGAATTGCTGATAGACATTCTGATAATATTATGGTTAAAAAAACTGGCCAACTATTTCATGTTGATTTTGGTCATATCCTCGGACATTTTAAAGAGAAATTTGGGTTTAGACGTGAACGCGTGCCGTTTGTATTAACTAATGATTTTGTTCATGTAATTAATAAAGGACAGACAAAGAAAGGGCAAGCTGTGGAATTTCAGCGATTTCAAAGTCATTGTGAACAAGCTTTTTTAATTTTAAGACAGCATGGTGGTTTAATTCTATCCTTATTTGCAATGATGATATCTACTGGACTTCCTGAACTTTCATCAGAAAAAGATCTCAACTATTTAAGAGATACATTGGTATATATATGCGATATATTTTCATATTTTAAAATATTTAAACTTTTATAGTATGGTATTTATTGTATATTTTTTTAATTACAGGTGTTAGAAATGTCTGAAAGTGAAGCTCAAAAACACTTTAGAAGTAAATTCGATGAGGCACTTTGCAACTCATGGAAAACTTCACTTAATTGGGCTTCACATAACATGGCTAAAAATAATAAAACAATATGAAAAGTTATACTAGAAAAGGAACGATATTATTTCAATGTGTTTGACGATAGTTAGAATGCAGTTATGCTCTATAGGCAGTGTAAAGTTAATGTCTGAGAAACTTTTGAAGGTGGTAAGAGTCAGTGAAGTATGCTGATTAACAATTTCTAAAAAGTCAATGTACTAAGAAGTTGTGAATAAGATAGTATTTACTACATGCAATGAATACGTATAATGCACATATAATGTTTTAAATCGAACTGTTAATGTGAATTGCTGTCTATGGATGACAAAACAATGAAAATCAGGCGGACGCGTTTTATTAAGCTCTCAGTCGTTGAACACGATATTCATAAAAATACTTAATAGTAAGAAATACACTGTGGCATATATTTTCAGAGGCTGATGTATGATACATATCATTTCTTAACATAGACAGCCTATTCATAAATTTAACAATAAAATTATGTTTAATTTGAAAAAGTATATTGCTTTGAATTTTGTAAAAAAGTTTCATTTAAAAATTGCTGATAACTGGCTTGTACAGAACTACCTTATATGTAAATTGTCTTCTTTAAATATCACACTACACTAGAGCGCCTTAAAATGGTATGCATAGAAATTCTACTAGAGGACTACTGTTTAAGAAATCCATTTAAATCCAATTCTATTAATACGGCAATAAGAAGTACATTCAAGTATACCAAAACGTGAGGTTCTTACATGTAAAGGATGATAAAATAGAAAAAAGCTATTGTATTTTTATTACTTAGTCTTCGACAGTAGTGCAGAAACTAAGAATAATAAATTTTATCTTATAATTTATTAATAACACTTAAGCATTATTTCTTATCGCCCTTAATATAAATCGTGCTATGCAATAGTCAGTGATAGTGTGATAATTCAAAGCAATATTTATTCATAAAATTATGTTTAAATAACTTAAATTTGTAAGCGGAGCATTACCAGGTTTCTGCCGTTGGGTCGACGTGGCGACCGTCTCAGGTGCCAAAAATAATAAGTGTCGAGAGGACTATTTTTCGTTTTATTAGCACATTTTTATACGTTTTTGTTTTTATGTATCCATACATAGGAAACATCTTTGCGTTGCATAAATGTTATTCTTTTTTTTTTTTACAAATTCAGTAAATAATTGTTGAGCATACACTGACTTTTTGAAGAGTAT